CTCAGCAGATTCATGCTATACGAATAAATATTTTTAAAGCAAATAAACAAAAGTCAATGTAATAAGTTACATACATTAATTTAAGTTAACATTTTATTCGATTTCATCACCTTGCATGTCTAAAAAAATATAAAACAAAGAGGTAAGTTTTAAGACAAAAACATTATTCATGTATTTGTTTTTACAGTTTATCTAAATGAGCTTCTATAAATGTACATATATGTATAAATCCTTTCCTGTCTATGTTCTTTTCAATCCTTTTGCACGTGTGCTTTTGTGTGCAAGTCGTAACAGATTTGATTGCCATTAAAAATTTAATTTCAATTAGCTTTTTTTTTTTTTGTAAAAAATATAAAGCAAAGAATAATTGGGTTATTCATATAAATATTTTACGCATAAAAACTAAAAATGTGTGGAAATTGAGTTTTATAATAAACAAATTAAATGAAAGACTAATATACGACATATATTGCTTAAGATTCTTTGAAAATATAAAATGATGTATTTTCCTTACCTGTTCTATACCTAATTCTAGGCTTAAGGTAGCCATGAGTTTTAATCCGGCGGACTCTGGAGACGGAATCTTGATGTATTGTTCTCAAAATGACGAAGGCCTCGGAGATTTTGCAGCACTCGTGATAAAGGATAGGCATGTCGAGTTTCGCTTTGATATCGGTTCTGGAATAGTGACAATAAAATCACCTCATCCCGTTCAACTTGGTGTATGGGCGCATGTGACAGTGAATCGAGATTTCAAGGATGCGAAATTGTCGGTGAATGGTGAACCATTTGTGGAGGGCAAGTCACTCGGAGCTGCGAGAACTATGAATCTAAATACACCTCTTTATATTGGAGGAGTTGATCACAGAAGAATCATGATCAATCGAAACGCCGGTGTTGATCGTAGTTTCCGTGGATGCATAAGCGAAGTAAGCAAAATTATTGATTATTTAATTAGATATCAAACTCCGTAATTAGTGTCTAGTATTATTATTTAATAACTTTATTTTTTTTAAATCATAATATCTCATAATATTTTTTGTTTTTAATTTATAAAGTTTTCTGAAAAATGTCTTAATCTTCAGATTTTATCTGTTCTTTTTATGGAAATTATATAATGAAGAACCTAGAATACTTTAGAATTTATATTGCGTTTATATATATATATATATATATA